TGTGTTTTGACCATCATATAATCCATCCATGAATTAAATTTGATTTTCTGCCATGTCAGGTCTCTGACCTATGCCCTCGTTCTAAAGTATTCACACCGCATAAATGTGAAGGTACCGATACTGCCCGCGGCGCAGTATCAGCTCTGAGAGTACCAAATAACGAGCAAACCCTAACCAATAAGACAAATTTCCATGTGTATCGCTTGTGCGAACAACTAAATAGCTGCATTATTTTGATGCCAAGGAAAGTGCCAGAGGGAACTGCATCTGCAGGTTCATAACATATGATTTTTTTCGTGCTATCTGCGAGTAATGGAGGGTCAGAAGTGCGAACAACTAGGATTTTTAACGATTATTTCGATGCGGTAAAAAGATATGCACTGTTCTGTTTATCGAAAATAAGATTGACCTCAATTACCGTCTCTCGAGAGCTAAGTGATACGAAATTATGAGAAAGCACAAAACACGAAGCTTGTAGCACTCGTACCTCCTGAAGATAGCCCCGGCAAGCAGTGGACGCTCCTGCGGTATGCGACGGACAAGGTGGTGGGAGTCAGCACTCGCAAGAAGGCCAGGACAGTCGAAATGAGTAGGAGGCATGTGGTTAAATGGATCGAAAAGTTTAGAGCAAATATTCGGGAGAAGGCAAACAGCTATCCAAAACACCGCAGACAAGTGTGCCAAACTCCGCGGCTGTAAGCAAACCAGAGCTTTCAACAGCTGGAAAGAATGTCAGAATCAAAATGGAGGAAGGAAGTTATTTTTCCATCAACAATTCCACGGCACCTGGGAATGTCAGGTCCTAGACTTCAGTTAATGTCCAGAAGCCAACAAGCGTCAAGTTTGACTCGGAATTTAAGTTTCTCCGCCGAATAATCGTGTGGTTAGCTGTGCCCCAGGATGGCATGTCAGTGGCAGTGTTCATCTCCAGCAATGCAGATGTGCGCGAGGAAACATTTTGGAGGGAGTGTGTAATAAGATACCTTATATAATCCATCGCGAAACATCATTAGGATGAGACATTGATGTTTTGGTCAGATCTGACGCCTGCCGATTATGCCCGAAGCATCCCGCAGTTGCTGGGCAAGCTGCATATTTACAATGTGCCGTGTGATGAAAACCCACCAAAGACACTTCCGATCTGACCCATGGCAGACATGAAAATATTTTTCATAAATATTTTTCGAACCCCTTGAATGGATGGATTTATGGAATCAGACTCACGATAAGCAGTCCTTGTTGTGTGATCCCTGACCTCCACCATCGGATCGCGCAATTCCAGGTTAACGGCAGCATTCTGAGGCGAAAGTTTAGCCTGCCACAGTGTTCAGCACGGTCCGCCCTGCCCTCTGACGTCATCTGACCTTTGGCACAGCCACTGTCACCGGCCGCAAATATCCCGATCAATGGCAAATAGTGAGCGCCCAAAGGGACTCGAATCTATCCCGCCACGGGTGGGTGGATCGGGAGGCAGGCGCTTTAACCAACTGCGCCATCGGGACGGAAAGTGGATGATGAATGTATGACGGACATTGAATAACACCACACAAACGCGCGCCCACACACACACATGCCCACGCCCACGCCACCACGCCCACGCCCACGCCCACGCCCACGCCCGGTGTCCTCACACACACACACACACACACACACACACACACACACACACACACACACACACACACACACACACACACACCACACACACCACACACACACACACCACACACACACACACACCACACACACACACACACACCACACACACACACACACACACACACACCACACACACACACACACACACACACACACACACACACACACACACACACACACACACACACACACACACACACACACACACACCACACACACACACACACACACACACACACCACACACACACACACACACACACACACACACACACACACACACACACACACACACACACCACACACACACACACCACACACACACACACACACACACACACACACACACACACACCACACACCACACACACACACGCACACGCACACGCACACACACACACACACACACACACACACACACACACACACACACACACACACACGTTAGGAGGTATATGGGAGTGCGCTACAGCGAAGTAGGTGGGAGGCCGACTCAGGAGGTCTGTGCGACTGGGTGGGAGGCCGACTCAGGAGGTCTGTGGGACTGGGTGGGAGGCCGACTCAGGAGGTCTGTGGGACTGGGCGATGAGCCACGTCCAAGCGGAGTTGTAATGCTCGCAGACGACAGGCCGGAAAAATCACCGATGATGAAGAGAAACTGTGCATACTGTGGTGCGTGACATATGAGCAAATGGTCTGCGCTACAGCAGATGTAGCCTTTCTAAGCCAGCTCACTGATGCTGTTGCATTGTTCACTAAGGTGGTCCGTAATTGTGGCCATTTTGTTGCAATGCCACCAAATGAGCCGAAAATGTAGTCATTCAATGTAGCCTCTGCTTTAAATAGCTACCCGCTCAGCAGATTTGTAGCCCAACTCCGCGGTTAATCCAGTAGGTTCGAGACTTTGAAGTGGTTATACCAAATGTGCCATCATTTTTCGCGCTATTTTCAAAGCCATGCACTGCTAAAGCCACGTCATACCAAATTTTCTTGAGCACCAACATTTCAGGTGGTCTACCAGCCGTGCAAACGACTATTGTGGACCCTGCGGTGTACTGCTCTCTGGTGTGAGGTTTGAAACACAGCTTACCGAACTATGAGATCATCCAGACTCAAGTTCATGGAAAAATTGGAAAGTCACGAAATGACCTTGGATGTTGTCAAAGTACCAGTTAAAAGCAAATAGATTATAGAATAGATCATAAAGATATAAAATAGTATACTTATTATAAAACATTATAAAAGATTATAAAGATATAACATACTATAAAACATTATAAAGATATAACACATTATAAAGATGTAAAATATCATACTTACTATAAAATATTACAAAAGATTATAAAGATACAAAATACATAAAAATCTAATAGATTATACAAATAATAGAAATGAATCTTAACATATCAGCACTGCACTGCCGCCGTGCGAGAAGCCCAGCAGGAACAGACGAAATAACAGTCACGGTCTGACGATTTCTAACACGAAATGACGGGCTACACCGCACAAACATGGATGTCAAACCAATCCTTCTGAAGTCTTGTGACGCCTCCTTCTATAAAGTGACATCAAGTGGATAAAGTGCCACAGCATCTGAGTTACCTGGTCCCTAGGATAATGTTTGAACTAGGATAATGTTTGCTAGGATAATGTTTGAACAAAAACGCACACCATAAAGCGAGCCAGTAAATGTTCAAACTGCGCGTGTAGCTAGCGCCCGTTTCTTTTTTGCCGTTGACCCGCCGGTCGTGGGGTTATCAGGAGGAGCATCCCTTTGCATATAAAGTGGGAAACACCGGGGAACGGCAATGGCTTAGCAATGCATGTAAACTGCGTCGGCACCACGCCACGCACATCTGCTCACTCACCAAGCTCACGTGCTGATCCATGCATGTAATTAGATGATAGTCAATGTTTTACGTTTGCGTGCATCCATGGGAAGCATGAATAGCAAAAAATTGACACTTGCGGCCCTGTGGCGACGCAAGTCCGGCCACACTGTCCAAGATTTCCATGACAATTCCGTTTTTGGCGCGTAATTTGCCCAAATACTGTGTTTCATTTAGTGTCCATGCGGAAACATGGTAATTGTGTGATTGCCGTCCGCACGCCTTTATGTGCAGCATGCACGCGCACACGCACACGCACACGCACACGCTAAGGCACAGCCACAGGCACAGGCACACACACACGCACGCGCACACGCACGGGTACAGGCACAGGCATACGCACAGGCACAGCCACAGGCACAGGCACACGCACACGCACGCGCACGCGCATACGCACAGGCACAGGCACAGGCACAGGCTCAGGCTCAGGCTCAAGCACAGACACAAGCACAGGCACAGACACAGACACGGGCACACGCACACGCACACGCACACGCACACGTACACGCACACGCACACGCACACACATGCGGTAGCCGTGCCAGGTACAGTCCATAAATGGTGGCTGTATGTACCACACGAGGCACAGGTATGAACGTCGCACAGTACTCATCGCAAGCAAGGCGTGTGAATGGGACGTGGACTTTTTGTGACAACACACTCGCCGTTGATAATCATTACTTAACTGTGTGTTGGGTAGGGGGAGGAGCCATTGGGGAGGGGGGAGGAGCCATTGCTGCACTCCATTTTGGACAATAAAATCATATGGCCTTTGCACCGCCTTCTCACACTCATGATGATTACCAGGGCAAAAATTATCATGGGCCCAGGTTAAGCTCTCCTTTGCCACAAAGGCAATCACAAACAATGTCAGCATTAGGCTAGGTTATGCGCGACGCATATGGTCCCAAAGGAAGCAAAACAAAAGTTAATTGTATCTATACTAAAAAAAGGTTATATAGCCGTGTAGGGTAGCAGAACACTTGTATTTCAAGGATATTACGAAATATCGTGTATTGGTCTAAATCTCCTTAGTTTATTTTGTATATCTTATTGATAGAATAACTCTGTAAGTGAAGTTATATTCGAATGAACATACGGATATTTTGTTTATATGCCATAATAAACATTATGCGATGCATTTGGCTTTAGGAATTTGTTTGCCGGCGCGTTGCATATTGGCATACTTGACAGAGAGAATGCAAATAGATTTTGTGATGGAGATAAGTTTAAGTACGATAATACATACCCGGTAATTGTGTACAACATGACCATCCCTTAACCAAGGCCGTCAAGGACAGCAAAGTTTGGTCAGATTTTGCGTGCATGTATTGGCTGTCATCGCATGACCGGTCATTTGATTTTCCTATATGTTAGCCTTTATTCTCAGGCCCCCGGATCTCGAGTCAAAGACATCCTTGCTTTAACCAAATCGCACGTTTCCATTTCCCAGGTTGCGAGTTCTACGGGTTCTCAACTGGCGTGACGGGCATCACCAGCATCATGACTCTGGCCAGCATCGCCAAGGACCGGTGCCGGGCGATTTGTAAACCCCTGGACCTGACTCACCAGCTGACGCGACGCCAGGCCTACGCCAACATCCTGGGCGTCTGGGCGTACGGCCTCCTCTTCAGTGTGCTGCCCCTCATGGGGGTTGAAGGTTAGCAATCTTTCTTCGATGTCATGGGCTCATCTCGGCTGGAGTTTGTTGGTTTTCAGACTTGCGCGACCCTGCCCCTTATGGGGGTTGAAGGTTAGCAATCTTTCTTCGATGTCATGGGCTCATCTCGGCTGGAGTTTGTTGGTTTTCGGACTTGCGCGACCCTGCCCCTTATGGGGGTTGAAGGTTAGCAATCTTTCTTCGATGTCATGGGCTCATCTCGGCTGGAGTTTGTTGGTTTTCAGACTTGCGCGACCCTGCCCCTTATGGGGGTTGAAGGTTAGCAATCTTTCTTCGATGTCATGGGCTCATCTCGGCTGGAGTTTGTTGGTTTTCAGACTTGCGCGACCCTGCCCCTTATGGGGGTTGAAGGTTAGCGAACTTTCTTCGATGTCATGGGCTCATCTCGGCTGGAGTTTGTTGGTTTTCAGACTTGCGCCACCCTGCCCCTTATGGGGGTTGAAGGTTAGCAAACTTTCTTCGATGTCATGGGCTCATCTCGGCTGGAGTTTGTTGGTTTTCAGACTTGCGCGACCCTGCCCCTCATGGGGGTTGAAGGTTAGCAATCTTTCTTCGATGTCATGGGCTCATCTCGGCTGGAGTTTGTTGGTTTTCAGACTTGCGCGACCCTGCCCCTCATGGGGGTTGAAGGTTAGCAATCTTTCTTCGATGTCATGAGCTCATCTCGGCTGGAGTTTGTTGGTTTTCAGACTTGCGCGACCCTGCCCCTTATGGGGGGTGAAGGTTAGCAAACTTTCTTCGATGTCATGGGCTCATCTCGGCTGGAGTTTGTTGGTTTTCAGACTTGCGCGACAAGCTTACCCGAACACTCTTAGAAATCGAGACAGCTCTAAAAACGAGCTTTGACGCTCAAGCCGTGAGCTCGTTAAGAAGTTCCAACCACGCATTGCACGCGGAAAAAACTTGTTGAAGTTGTGAAACGGATATAACACTGATGTGATATGATGTGCGACGTAACGCGTTCGACGAAACTGCTTGATCCACCACCGATCTGACGTCGCTCCGTCACAGGCATCCGCTTCACGCCGGAGGGCTACCTGACGTCCTGCAGCTTTGACTACACATCCGACAGTGCGGCCAACAAGGCGTTCATCTTGGTCTTCTTCACGGCCGCCTGGATCCTACCGTGCTGCGAGATCTGCCGCTGCTACTACAAGTGGGTGGACCGTGTGGAGGACGCGGATGGTGGCCCAGAGGTGGTTCGCCGGGCCTTGTGTCGAGAGGCCCCTGTCCAATTTCCGTCCCTGGAAACTTTTTCTGGTAGGCCTGTGCAAGGATGAGGTGCTGATAACTTTTGTTGATGCGTATGACGGAAATTTCTCTAACCCTTGTGCCTGCCGGGTATTGAGACCGATGGCTATCGACAGTGGACTGCCGTTGAAATGTTTGACAGCATTTGCAAAAGTGAGTAGGCACTTTGAACAATAATGATGTCAAGAAATAGATACAGTGACACTAATCGAGCCCAAAGGTATCTATTACAAGATATGGAAAAATTGATTTATAGGAGACGAGGATTTCATCGGAAAAATAGTGCACAGTCGTACTTAAATGAAGCAGTGTGAACTATTCGCTCGAGAGACTTGCGAATAACCAACAGGCCTTGATCATATATATTTTCTGTGATGTGTCCCTGTCGCCGGGCTCGCCTGGCGTGCCGGTTTCAGCCGGTTTCAGCCGGTTCTTGCCGGTGACAAATTGCAGGTGGACTGGCCACTGATCCCCCTCTCTCTGCGACGCGACACTGAACCAATCAGCCCGGCCACAGCAAGAGATATGGCAGCAATCAGCCGTCCGTCCGATATATGGCAGCAATTGGTCGGTGCTTTATTTGACGCGCGCAATGCGGGCCATTTCCGTGGTGTGAAGGGAGCAGCTTGGGGTGGGTTACACACCATTCAATCAGTCTGTCAGCTTGTCAGTTCCTGGTGGGGTGACAAAGGAGGTCCTGCTAGATCATTGGGACAAAGTGACGCTTTTCCAGCGATTGCATGCCTTAACATTCCTGCAGGTAAACTGCCACAAATTGCAGCAGTTCTGAACAAACCAGTCACTGCTTTCTTCTCGACACTTTCAGTCTAGATACGATTCCGATGAAATGATCTCAGCAGGGGCCTGAGTCGCGGGGCGCTGATCACGACCATAATGGTAATGTTTCGGTCTGAATAGGAAGACGGCAGAGCACACGTCTGGCACAGGCACGTCAAACAGAGGCCGTAGTGGGCCGGGTAATCCCCCCCCCCCGTACACCAACTGAATGGGCCAGTCCACGGATCGGGCAGCAAGTCGGGAAAATATGGGTATGAGCACGGGCACACATTTTACAACACTTATTTGAGATATTTGCAAGCTACCAGCACCACTAGATTCCTTAAGTTTTCTTTATGTAAATTATATACAGTCAAATCATAATGAACACTCAGGCCGACAGACCGTAACGCAAAGAAAGCCTCAGTTTATGAAAAGATTCTCATTTCATGCCCACTTCCAGCTATCCATGTCGAGTGACATTCCAGTCATGTACCGAAAATGTAAAGCAAGCTGGCAGCATGATAGCTGGAGCTATAAATCCCAAAATAGGCAGCATCGAGATAAATCATTTTGTTCATAAAAGCTGGCTTTTCGACCTCACCCCACTGCTGGCACGTCATGTCAGTTACTTTAGCAATTTGTAATTGCCAAAGCGCATTGGCCAGAGTACCAAAGAAGCAGTGCAGAATCTACGAAACTGGAGCATGGAGCAGGCGTTTGTTTGCACCATGCAATTAAGTGCGCAAAAACATCTCCAACATGTCTGTTATTTTAATTTCCGCCAATGGACTCAGAAAACACGGATTCATACCAGACATTGAATCCTATGGGCAATATTACACAGGAATCCTTTGTCAGCTAGAGCCAAGTGCGCAAAATTGGATATTTTGTGATGTTTTGCAGCCAGAGAGCGGATTGAGGAAAGAAGACAAGTCAAGGATGGAATAGAATGGAACGGCCTTCCACAAAGATGGAAAGACCTACACGCAATCTCACAAACCAAAGGATTCTGCGATTGATGGGCGCATGAATAGCCAGCCAAGAGAGAGTGGAGGGTGGAGAGATTGGAGAGCGGGGTGGGGGCATTAGGTGGCAATGGATATTGGACGGCTTCGTCTGCCCAATATGTCCGGTCTGTCATAGCTCACCTTAGGATTAACGAGTGAACTGGGAGTAATGGAGAAGAACTTCCATTTTAGATGTGTCAGATCATGGCGGCAACAGTGCAAATGCAATTTCGCAAAGGTGTGAACCAAAACCACTGACGGATTTGATGGAGGTCTGCTCTAAAGATGCAACAACTTTCCAAGAACCTGGCTCCGGCAGGGACAAGCCAAGCAGCACCAGTGTGGCTGCTTATATAAAACCAGCAAAGATCGTAAAGATCCCAAAGATCGTACAAGCGCCGGACCAGGCGCCGGCTCCGTCAGCATCTCTCATTATATTCAATGCAGGCCGACTGGCCTTCTTGCACGAACAAAATACCTTCATTATGTCAGCCGGGGCGGCGCGCTGCAGCGCCACCTGAAGCAAATATGACCGTCAGTTGTGGCCGAGCATGGCCGGCAAACATGGCCGAAGTACCACATCTCGGGTCTGCCCTTGCAAGATAGCGGCACTCCGCGAATATACCAAGGGCCGGATATGAAAACGCCTGGCGATTACCTCCAAGCAAGTTCTTTGGCATGCTTTAGAAAACACGCTGAGCTACGCTGTGTGTTCTCACCTACGCTGTGTGTTCTCACGCAACACGGACCGAAGGTATAACCAAATGCTTCTCAGAGTGGGATAAGTGGCATCGTTGTTGGAAGTCAAGCACGGTTGGCTACACTTAACCGATTACAGGAAATGTTTTTCATCTGAAGGTATTACAGCAAACGTCAGATATGATGAAACAAGCTCGGTTATAACTATAAGCGCACTTTTTAATTGGAAAAGACTACTATTTATACATATATATATATATATATATATATATATATATATATATATATGTTGCTCTAGAAATTATATATTTGGGTAATATATGTCATTACGTTATGGTTTGATGACGTCATCGCGCCTCGCCCAGCATTGATTGCGAGCCAATTATCGTCTGCTATACCTGGAGATGGCGCTCACGAACGCCAGATAGAAACGCCTCAGCAATAATATTTTTATTGGTATTGATCGCCGCATGGCTTTTGAAACGGCAGGATTTGAGTGACATCATTATGACGTCATGAATGTCAGCTTGACTTTGAAATACTCTCCGATATACTTTTCCTCATTTTCGCGGGTATGTAGCTCAGAAACTAGAGGGGATTAATTCTTAAAAGGGCGGAATTATGAACAGCATCGAAGGATCTTCAAGATGATCAGTTCAGTTCAAAACTCTATACAAACATGAAACACTCCTTTTAATCGGACTTATTGCCAACCGGGTACATTTTTCTATTTGGCGCATTTGGTATAACACCTTCTGGGAAGAACGGCACGGGGGCTTGAGGGCAGTGAAACAACTGAAAGCAGGGAGACAGAGCAGGTCGATATACCCCGTGTGGGCAGTGTGGTCAGGACCCGTGTAGCTTTTGCGAAATCGGGCAACTCTTTGTAAAAGCGTAAAAGCGCCCTATAGGGCGTCATCACCGCACCCCTGCGCATGACCCGGGGACTGAACAGTCCTCTGCGCGGGCCGCTGCCGGCACCCATCGCTGGTGTGCCGGGCCCGCTGTCGGGACTGAGCTGACGACCAAGCCGGCCCCCCGAGCTCGTCGGCGGACAGACGGAAATGACGCATCGCCTCGGCGTTCGTTAGGCCGGGCGGAGCCGGCTGCAAAACATCCCCAGACGAATGGGCGGCAACAACAGAAACAGGCTGCTCTGAGCGCCGCGGGCATTGAGTGAAGGCAGTATGGGGATGCGCAACACAGCGAACCGCGTTGTGACGGGCTGCTGATTTTGTGGAGGAGGGCGACACAGTGGCGCGGTTTCAGAAGATGAGCGTCTGTGTGTGTGTGTGTGTGTGTGTGGGTGTGTGTGTGTGTGTGGGAGGGGGTTGAGTAGATAGAAATGGCGCAACCGAGCTCCGAAATACGCCAGCAAATGGGTTTATTTCCGACTTTAGTCCATTTTCTTCACAACGTTTTCTCCGGACGACCCAGTGACGTGGTTTTCAGAAATGAATGTGTGTGCGGGGCTGAGTAGTTCGAAATGGTGCGGCCTGACTCCAAAATACACCAGCAAATGGGTTTATCCCCATCTTCGGTCCATTCTCTCCGCAAAGTAAGGGAGGTTGAGCCCGAGTTGAGGGGGGCTGGACCTACCCCAACTGAATACGAAACTGCACTCCTGGCACGGCCATTGCTCCGCAGATGGAGGTGCAGTGAGCGAGACCACGCAGAACAAGCAGCGAGGGATGGCCGAAAGGTTCGGATGAATCAGCACTGCTGCCGCCTCTGAAAGAAGCCAAATTCGCCGCTGTTCTGGAAAATCATAAATTAACAAGCATGATGGAAAAGCCGTTGACGAAGGTCCACACAGCAAGCAGCTGGAAGTGGCATTTGGTCTTAAATGTGTGCGATGGTGATGTAGTATTAGCAGGCTCATGCGAAGCGGTGTGACATCAATCTATCGATGCGCCGGAAATTGTGGTCCACTGCCCACCGCTGACCGCATTTTTCTGTCACTGTCTCCTATTCTGCGACAGGAAAATGATTTCTTTCACCCTGAAACTTGGTCTAAAGTGCCAAATCCTATGGCCGAGCATCGGCCCACTCATCGCTGTTAATGCCGCGCGTACAGCTCATGCGATCACCTGCGTGTACGCTGCTTTTTGGTAACGACTACGGTATCGCAATCGCCACCCGCGAAAACATGGTGAGCCGATTGCTTCGCTCGCTGACCACCTTTCTTGAACCAAGAAAAATTGTCCTGTATTTTGAGACATTCCAAAAGTTTTCGAGTTAACAGCATAAGAATACATATTAACAGCATAAGAATACATATTAACAGCATAAGAATACATATTAACAGCATAAGAATACATATTAACAGCATAAGAATACATATTAACAGCATAAGAATACATATTAACAGCATAAGAATTAGCAGCAGCAGGCTAATAAACCAACAGCTGGATAGCTAATACGTGATGGGCGGGATACTTGCATGCTGAGTACTCTGCTCTGAGCGGCTCTGAGTTGCAGGCTGAGTACTCTGGTCTGAGCGACTCTGACATGCAGGCTGAGTACTCTGGTCTGAGCGACTCTGACATGCAGGCTGAGTACTCTGCTCTGAGTGATTCTGAGTTGCAGGCTGAGTACTCTGCTCTGAGCGACTCTGAGTTGCAGGCTGAGTACCCTGCTCTGAACGACTCTGAGTTTCAGGCTGAGTACTGTGCTCTGAGCGACTGTGAATTGATGAACGGAGAGCTTGATGGTTAGTATTTTCAAACTTCCGGCTGTCCACACTCCTGGCAGCATCTCCGAACTCCTTAACTCCCGGAACATGTCAGAAACTCCCGATCCGTATGTAATTTCAGCAGCAAGACGACACTAAACAGCGTAAATTTGCCGTATTACTTGCCACATATTTTTCCAATACACAGCAAGATAACCTTGCAACACACGATCCTGAACATTGTGGTAACCACGGACATGGGCTTTTAGAAGCGCGCCCTAGCTTTGGACATGGGCTTTTAGAAACGCGTCCATCGAAATTCCGCTCACGACACACGTTTGACGTGTGTCGTTTTTTTGACGTTTGACGTCCAATGAAAGGCAGCGGCCCAGCGGGCACCGACCCCTGATCGGACCCACTTGACTGCAGATAGCTCCTCTCAGCGAAATGTCGGCGGTACGGATTTCTACGACAGAGAAATGTCACGTGGTATTTGAGGGACAATAGAAGCTGCGACTGTTAAAGGAGCAGTGAAATGTGATTTGCCCGAGTTTAAGTATTCCGAGGTTCATTAGCGCATCGAGGCATGGGAATGACCAGCTAGTGAGTTTTGGTACACTTCACTGCCGCGATTTTAACGTTCAGTAGCATACGACGCTTTCGCAGTGATTTTGAAGATATCAGTTGAGAATTCACCTTTTGTAAAGTTACCAGTTGCTGCTGGCTTCATGTTAATAGCGCAATGAATTACGATGCGTAGTAAGGACCCACGGAGGTGTGTGATTGTTCCAAGGAGTAGCGGATGTGTGCCCATATCATGCTACCTCGCCCCATCTCACTTCATCTACCCATCCCATGGGAACCGAATCGCTCCGGAGCCTCTGCGCTAGGCGGGGAGAGATCAAGCTCTTCCCATAAATGTGTCTGTGCTGCCGCGCACAATCGATCTCTTACTATCTGTTGAGTAACTGTATCCGTGCTTATCCCCAAAAAGGCCACTAGAGGGGCCAATGTCAGCATCTAAGAAGAAATACTGCTCGGCTGTGGGTCGATAGGAGCCCGGGCCCGGTTCCCGACGCGACAAGGACGGGATCATCCGGGTGTACTGCACCTGGATTATACACTTACCTTGAGGGCATCTTACCTATACACTTACATTGATGAATACACGCACACACACACACACACACACACACACATATATATATATATATATATATATATATATATATATATATATATATATATATATATATATATATATATATATATATATACTAACTGTGAGATGTGAGATGAACTACCCATGAGCCTTATCCTGGGCACCGATCGGAGACCTCCGGGACCTGGTCCGGTTCCCCTGGTCCCGGACACCGACCGCAGGCCTCCGGGACCTGGTCCGCTCCCCTGGTCCCGGATGTCGGAGCCGCTGCCAGTGACCCCAGCTTCCCCGGTCAGCGTCAGGCAGCCAGCTCAGCTTCTCCAGCTCCTCCAGTACTCACCAGCTCGAGCAGCTCGCGCACGCAGGGTTCAGGGTTCAGGTCAGGGGTCGCTGCTCGGTGGAGCGTGACTTCAACGTCCAGGTTTTGCCAATGCATTTGTCACCACTTTTTCTTCCTTACTAGGGCCCCACCGCTTAGTATAGTTGAGCTGAGCTGGCACGCGTCACTGGGACTGCCGACTGGGACTCTAGGACTGCCAAACAGATAAAACCAATCTTCGTCTTCGGTTGGACTTTGTCTTCGATTTTTAATATCTAGATGCCCTTGGAAAACCAGATATAAATAATGTATTTTCCTTTTGATCCCAATATGGGTGTAAAAGTCTGGTGCCGGTCTCTCAGCCTTTGCTGTCACATTCGGCACGATTCTGCCACTTATGTCACTTTTATTCTCGCATAATCCAGCAATCACGTACACAGAAGTGCCACCTGCGAGGTCTTGTCATAGACATCTATGACATTGATTCTCGTAACTAAAAACTTTATTCCTAAAAGACTCGAGCGTGCGGCTAAGTGGTTGCGAAAATGGCAGGAGAGACGCACAATTCTAGCTTGTTGAGAGTAGGGCTGTGAAGCTGGAGGAGTGCCCCTGGTCGGAGTCCTAGCTGACCCTTCGCCTGATAACGGCTCTAAGCTATCTTTCCTCGCGCCTGTGGAGACGAGGATCAGTTCTGAAACGCATTGCTATTCTCATTCCCATGCCAGTGTCATTTACTACGGATTCCGCCACAAAGATGTAACTTCTGATAATCCATTCCGTACTTAAGGTCAATGTTGAGCCAGCAACGGCCAGATGCTGGCTGAGGGGGCGCCTAAAAAGGATGCGAACACTGGCCCCTAAGCGCCAGTACCGGTGCTGGGATGCTGTGTTCATTGGCGATGTACTGGCGTCGTGACGCCAGAGCAGTGCGCTCTAGGCCAGCGCAGAGCAGTGCGCTCTAGGCCAGCGCAGAGCAGTGCGCTCCGGGCCAGCGCAGAACAGTGCGCTCTAGGCCAGCTCAGAGCAGTGCACTCTAGGCCAGCGCAGAGCAGTGCGCTCCGGGCCAGCGCAGAACAGTGCGCTCTAGGCCAGCGCAGAGCAGTGCGCTCCGGGCCAGCCCAGAGCGGCTCACTCTGGGCCAGCGCAGAGCATCTGCGACAGTGGGCTTCCGGGGGCTGCCTGCAGTGGGTCGACGCCCCGGAGGCCGGCGCATCGCCAATAAGTGAACCGCCGCGGGGTCGGCGATGACTTTATGCGGGCTCAGCATCGTCAGCATTTGGCTGCGGTGCTTTGATGCCGCCCGGCGCCATTGGTCGTCCCCTTGGACCAGGCCCGCCAGCTGGTTTTGGAGCCGGCGATTTGAGAGAATTGTGCCCATAGAAAAACCGCTTTTGGGACAGTGATACAGGGTGGTGGCATGTTTTTGTGACTTGTTTAGTGTCTCTCTTGTTGCTTCGAATTTGTCCTTGTGTTGTGATAAATGTATAGCTTCATAGCACCCGGGTACCACAGTGACACATATAATATGGCACCATTTCAATACTTCCCTCGCGACCGAAGATAACGCGCAAAAATGGCGACATACAAAATGCCGGTATTCCTCACATGTGAGACCATATTTGTTCAAATGAGATGTTCGCACGCTCTGAAAATACAAACTGAATAAGCTGACTCATCTTCACCCGGCGACTTTCAGTACTGTCAAAGGTTTGACCCCTCCAGGACCTCTTGCCCAATCGGGTCCAGGTCATACGGAAATGCTTCTTTTCGCCGAGCCCGTCGAAATTCCAAGCATAGAATCGCGCAACCGCCCCGAACGGATGGAGCTGACAGCATACACCGAACGCTGTAAAAACATGGGCTTGAATGAAGATTGCTTGCTCGAGTATCACCCGACGCTGGTTTGGCCACCCCAGGCGGCCGCCTGGCGATTCAACCATCGAACTTTCCTCGTCTATATCACCACATAGCACTATGCACAGGGGTCCTCTACATTTGGAGGCTATCAGTTCACGCATGGCCCGCATTCTCCCCCCCCCCCCCACCCTCATTTCCCGACGCACGGGAGAAGTCGGCGTCGGCGTCGACGCCTCCCTCCGCCGATGCCGACGCTGTCGTCGCGCGTCTCCTCTGGCTTGACGCGTCGAGGGGAGGCTCAGCCCCCCCCCCCCTCTGCGCTAATGAGAGCACAGCAACAGTATCCGCCTCTGGGTATGTGTCGGCTGACCAGGCACGGCTGGGGGGCGGGGCTGAGGGGCTTCAGAGCCGCTCATCGGACGAAGGCGGCCACAGAAAATACACGTGTGACGACGAATATTTTACCCTACTGTCGCTGCGCCCATTTCCCCACTGATCTTGATTATTTGCTACCTGTTGCATGTGTGCGTTAAGTGCGACATTGATCAAGCAACAGTTCTTCTATGAGTGCTTTGGCTTTTCGTCTAGCACACAGCTCTTCCGCTCACAACGTTCTTAGTGAATATGGCACGTGACACGTGACATGTGACATGTGGCATGTGCCATGTGGCATGTGACATTACATGTGATATGTGACATTCGCCATGTGACATGTGACACGCGATATATGACACGTGATATGTGATGTGACAAGCAGCAGAAATAGGCAGATGTCCACTGACATGTGGACTGTTGTCACGTGTTGTGCCGAGGGCAACACAGCCAAATTTACTCCGAAGAAACCCTATAGACGTGGCTCGATCGCAACACTAATGTACCACTTTTCCAGTAGGGAGACAGTGTCGCTATTGAGACGAACGCCCTATTGCAGAATATTCCGTACGGTGCAGGGAACCACCTTCGAAAGAAGCATGGAGGAGAGAAAAGACTCAACATGGCGATGCTCCAACAACAGGAAGTGCAAGTCAGAGATCAGGTCAGCGCACAACAAAACAGTGTTTTGTTTTGATGTTTGTTTAAGTTTGTTTGTTTGATGTTTGTTAAAGTTTGACGGTCGTGCAACCAGAAACCAATGGCTGGGGCTTCCTGCAAATGTATAGCCTTACCAGGCAAAAAGGTGCTGCGGTGGTTCTCGTTTCGGGGCTGATCAAAATTCCACAAATACCTCCGCTGCTCTGTGCGGAATATAGACGAGCCATCACCCGGTTCGTTGCTCCGACAGTCCAGTCAGCCCACCAGCGATTCGCTCGTGTTGTTCAAGAGAAAACTCGGCAAACAACAGACCCGTTCCGGGCGATCGTCCACACTCGAGCCGCCGCCACAGGGTCAACTCGGTCACAGAGCCGCCGCCACAGGGTCAACTCGGTCATAGAGCCGCCGTCGCCGGGTCGGCTCGATCACAGAGCCGCCGCCACAGGGTCAACTCGGTCGCAGAGCCGCCGCCACAGGGTCAACTCGGTCGCAGAGCCGCCACCACAGGGTCAACTCGGTCACAGAGCCGCCGCCACAGGGTCAACTCGGTCGCAGAGCCGCCGCCACAGGGTCAGCTCGGTCACAGGGCCGCCGCCACAGGGTCAACTCGGTCACAGAGCCGCCGCCACAGGGTCAACTCGGTCGCAGAGCCGCCGCCACAGTGTCAGCTCGGTCATAGAGCCGCCGCCACAGGGACAGCTCGGTCACAGAGCCGCCGCCACAGGGTCGGCTCGGTCACAGAGCCGCTGCCACCGGGTCAGCTCGGTCACAGAGCCGACGCGGCACGTTATGTAATCAGGCCTGACCAGACTGACAGGTGCTTACCGTGCCGTACGTGACGCCGATATCCGTTTACTGGTCCGGTTTTGCGGTAGTAATTTTCAGGCCTGACTGATGCATGCTTGAAAATAATCTAGTTGCGGTATCCAAATGCCCGAAGGCACAGATGATAGCACTACGGACACAGAAACTTATTCGTAGACGACTCCAATGTAGTCAAAAGCGGCGCATACCAGATTTCATCAATTAAGGCATGTTTGATGAAATGTTAAGCTGCTCCCAGTTTTTGGAGCCGCGCTGCCAGTTCTGGTAAGAGACATGCAATCTCATTGGGCCGTGTGGGGGAGGGGGAGGAGGAGAGACCAGCACGCAACGCATATATAATTGGAATGAGGTGCGGTTGGTTTAGCACCGTAGAGAAAGGCCTCAACATCAGCTCAATGCACAAACTAAGTCATTTAGGATGTCCATCTTCACGATGCTAGTCTGATCGCATTTGTTTCGTATCTCCCCGGCAGGCTCTTCTCACTTAACGGGGCACTGGACGAGACTGAAGCACTATTTGTATGCCAATAGGCTGTGCGGAACAGAAGCCGGGCCAAGGCTCGCTGCAGTGTGTTATCCACTGGCCCATTTTATTGCCGCCTCGCACTCGACTGACCCAGTTTCTTGCGTGGTGATTCGGTAAAATCGGGCGCCTCCCGGCTTTGGCTCTGCCTTTGGGTTATCTCGCCAAAATGTAGCACAACTGTCGCTGGTGGTGGAAGGGGGGATAGGGGGCTGGGGAAGCGGTGAGAGACAGTGGGAGACGGTGAGAGGAAGTGGGAGACGGTGTGAAGAGGTGGGAGACGGCTGGAGTTAGTGCAGAGACTTGGAGACAGTGTGAGACGGTGTGAGCAGTCAAGAGAGAGAAAGAGAGAGAGGGGGGGAAACAGCTGTTGGGAAAACTGCGCAGTTTGTCGCACGCATCACAGTAGAACAGGCCCGGCTTCCCGCCTTTGATCAGGTTCTGGCTTGATTGAAGCTCATCTACTTAATGCAGACCAGCGCTCAACAGAGATGGCGGCTTATTGCCTTGCCAAGGTTCGCTTGAAAGCCTGTTCGGTTGATGACATGGCTTCAGAATTCAGGCTTTTGTGTCGGCTGGCTTAAGCGCCATATGCATTGAGCTGCGGCTTGATCATAACGATTCCGCTTGGAGGAATCGCTGTCACACAGAGCAGTGGCACAAACGGGCCTGTTGCCAGACCGCAGATTTCTCACATCGCACTGCTTTGAGTACTCCAGGATCTAGGGTTGGACAAAACCACTGAAGTTCTGCTTGCCTCTGATCCCAGTGGATTTGGTCAGCGTTTAGTGCGAAGCTTGGCTCCCTTTGAAGCGTTAAGTTTACCTTTGTTGTGTGTTGGGCATGCACTCTAGCAAGTTGTCGTAACTCTGCAATACGCTACAGTGAGTGTAAGTGCGCTTGATAAGGTGTTTCGACTTGACTGCTTGAAATCGACCGTGTTACACTTCCCATCCAATAAATGCTCCATAAAGATGCTGCATTTCTATCATCAGCACACGACATAAGGGAACTCAACATCCTGGAAGCGCTACGTGTTTACGACCACACACCAATACATATATGTATATATATATATATATATATATATATATATATATATATTATATATATATATATTCATATATATAATAGATAGGTATCGCGTGAGGAGTCTGGGGCATTGCCAGACTCCGTACTGGATTTTGATTATTTATGAGCAGTTTCAAGCAGCCGCTGTAGCTCTGTATACAAAGCACTCGAAAGAACAAGCAATTTTCGGATTCGGATACAAGCAAGAATGACCGACCACTTTCTGATATGCATCTGAATATTTTCCATCACTGTTCATGCATTTACACTGGTTAGTGTCTTTTCCTTAAAACCTGTCTGAAATGTACCATCTCATGAGTCAATCAGGAAGTTTATAAATGACATTTGATGTTCAAACTAAGTTCAACTATGAACTTCAAGTCTGAATGGTCCCTTTAGTTTTTCGAGCAGAGATTGGAGCTGAATCAGTCTAGCTAACAATCACAAAAAATGCTATCGATGGTAGCGTAAATGTTTTCAGAGCTGGTGGCCGCATAAATGAGCACATGCTCTTCCACCTGACACATGCTAGAATAGAACGCCCATGGAGGAGCCCATCACGGACCCATCTACCTGTAGGTAGAGGTCTACCTTCAGGGCCTCTGAACAGGGCCTCTGATGTGCACGCTCGCAGCATTCGTCTTTGACCGCTCAAGATCACCTAGGCGGGACAAGGACCTTCACGATGATAGACATACGCTAAAATTATATCCCTGGATTTTTTGCATGCGGACATTCGTGAATAACTTTCAAGAGTCAATGATGTTAAAGAACTAGCAGTTTTTTTTTTGGGGGGGGGGGGCCTTAAGCATATCCATTAGTTCTTCAGTAGTCCCATTGTGTGTTTCGATGGGAAAAATGGGCACATGGTGGTATCTGGACTCCTAGCTACCAGGCATATTTGAGTGGAACTTTGAGACATCGCGCGTCTGATGGGATCCCATCACATCCCCATCAAAACCCATCCTGATCCTGATGGATCCCTTCCTGAAGAGTTTTGACGCTCCCATAAAACTAGCTCGGACCGCGCTTTCCAACAACTTCCTGAAAATAACATTAACCTCGATATTTGCTACGCCAATCACTTTGCTAAGACAAGTTTTCAGAGAAGCAGTTGGGTCCCCATAAATCCATTTAAACTTATCTCCATGCTTGTTTATGCGTCTGTGGTATTTGTGCGTCGTGCATGTTTTATCCCTATGAAAAATGCATCTGTTTTGCCTACGCACTGTTTGCACGTCTCGACTTAGCTGCTAAAGAGCCTCCGCAATGAGGGCATGGTCGCAACAAATTATTTTCGAGTCTGACTGAGTCCAAATCACACCCATGATGCAAGAGCATGCTTGATGCCATTATGCTGCACTGCACTGAGGTGCGTCCACTAGGAGTTCGCGTTCTGTGCTAGAGTTGCGACTAAAACCATTGCGTAACCAGATAGTCCAGCACATCGATGCGGTCGTGCAAGCTCATTTCGACTAAGCATGGGGCATGCATTATGACCATTAGATCTCATGAGGTAGCCGCACCGGGCGGTGAGCTGTTGTTCCCATGGGGCCTCTTTGGGGGCGGACTCCACCCATCACGTGACTCTGACGGATCGGTGCGCTAACCATGCTGGACAGCCTGGTTTGGTGCTCCGCGCACCGGCGTTTGGTTTCGTTTGTTTTCGACGAGTTTAGGTGGATAGTTCATAGCCATAGTGTGTTTTTCGATTAATTTTTTACCGAGCATATTTATCAAAAACAAAAATATACGAATTGAAACAAAACATAGAGACATTTAGGAAGTTTTAAGCTTGTATAGGGAGCGTGCTAACTTCATCTTCATGCCATGGACCAAACAGCCAGTGAGAGGGGTGCGGGAGCCATGAAGGCGTAAACACGCCAGAGGAAGCAAAGACGGGACCTGAATGCATGTATGGATGCATATGATCAAACTTATCTACTGGTGGTGTTCACACTCCTGCTTTCTATGAATACTGATGAGCATTTTGGTACCAGTGTGCAATTAATTTGAGTCGTATCGCGTAAACTCATCAGCCACTCAGCTCTGTCGGATTTGGTGCAGCGATGCCACGCCCGCCTTTCTGTTCGACACAAAAAAGGTCATAAACAAACATCTCTTAGATTGCAAACGCCGGAGAAGACACGAAATGGTTACGGAGGAGAGTGTGAACGTGCCAATGTTGAGTGAGATCACGCGTGTCAAAAAAGCGAATAATAAGGGATGATGAAAATATGGATAATCAAACTAAAGGCCTCATTTTAACATTGCTGTTGCTTCAATGTGTTAATCACTCACACAAAGTTGAAAACGTGTCCGGTGACAATGGAGTTGAACTCCGTTAACAGCAGCCGGTTGAATCTGAGTCCATATTCCGTTAACAGCAGCCGGTTGAATCTGAGTCCATATTCCGTTAACAGCAGCCGGTTGAATCTGAGCCCATATTCCGTTCACAGCCGGTTGGATCTGATCCATATTCCGTTAACAGCAGCCGGTTGAATCTGAGTCCATATTCCGTTAACACAGCCGGTTGGATCTGAACCATATTCCGTTAACAGCAGCCGGTTGAATCTGAGTCCATATTCCGTTAACAACAGTCGGTTGGATCTGAACCCATGTTCCGTTAGCAGCAGCCGGTCGGATCTGAACCCACTTTCCGTTCACAACAGCCGGTTGGATCTGAACCCATATTCCGTTAACAGCAGCCGGTTGTATCTGAACCCATGTTCCCTTAACAGCAGCCGGTTGGATCTGAGTCCATGCGCTGAGCAGCTACCGGTTCCGATAGTGGATTTACCATTTATGGGACGGCCGTGGTATACATGTGTGTATACCTAAATACGTATTGTGAATGTCCCATCCACATTCAAACGAGCAAGTTTCCATGAACACAACAACGTAGGTGACTACTGTTAAATGAACGGAAAGGAAAGATGCATTGGATGTCACAGATCTGTATGCGCTATGTGTCAAGACGTAAAAGAGCAAACGTAACGTGTAACGTTTCTGCCCAGTTAGCCATCACCATGTTTGGCACAGCGCATACGGCGCGTCTGCCTGTTGGAACAAGACCTTAACCAGCGCGCAGTTTCGCAGGAGAGCTTGGAATGGTTTTGTCCGGGTTTGAGCATCCTGGTGTATCCCAAAACACCGTGATACCTCCGCTCTGGTCCATTTTATTCCGTCACTTGACAGAATTAAAATATGTGTCCTTAGTTTATTTTATTATTTCGATCACTCTTCATCAACATAGTGACTGTCGTGAGCTGTGCATGAAGCTGGGGGGGGGGGGGATACTAAAGTGCAGGTTAAGTGGCATGACCTCCTCCAACATACGACCGTACACCCCTGATCGCGATCGTCCAAAGTAGCCTTACCGTTCAAAGCCGGCTAAGCCGACCACAGCATGGAGAACGGCGCGATCATCGCGTCGACCTTAACGCGTATCTACATTGATCTACTCACACGGCCCGACGACCGCGGCAGGACACCGGCGGACGGCACGCTCCGGAGCACGCGGCGTGTCATGAGGTCATTACTCGCCGGACAGATCACATGGGAAGTCATTTCAATCATCGCGGCGTCAATCGCGCTAATGCCGCGCGCTTGTAAGCGCCGCGGTGGATGGTTATGTAAGATCCGGAACTGCACGTCAGAGGGCCACAGGTATCGGACGAGACGTCCGCTGGCTTCGTGTACGGGGGCTTGCGCTCGTGTTTGGTGTACGCCTGCAGTGCAGGTGATGCGTCTTGTTCCCCTGAGGTAGCCGTCGGCTTGATCGGATCGTAACTGGAACGTGAATCCCAAATGGCACGCACGGGTGTTGCCAAAACACGACCTAGTCCGCCTTGTAAAGTGGCGCATAATCCGGAATGTTTATAAAAGGCAAGTGTGTCACGTGATGGGTAAAGACACGCTCCCATTAGTGTCTATGCAGTGGCATTCACGTTTGCATAAACACGTGCGTGCGTTTCCATGGTGATCCTACGGTTAGCCTTGTTTTTTTTAAATACTTCGGGGTCCTTCTGTAGAAACGATCGGCACAGGACCTGGCCCAGTCACTCCAGCTCTATACTAGCTCTTTAACATTACGTTTATAGGCCTATACACCAGCTCTAGTCGCACGTTCACACAGATAAAACACATCCAGGCCGGATGGCGGCGAAAACCGCGGAACTTCTCCATACTCCGCCAGCTCTCCCGCAACCGCCTGACCTTCGGCCGCCTAACCGCCGTCTTGGTGGTCTGAGTGTGCAGAACTCTTCCGCATGGTCGGGCGCCACGTGGAGGACGATGACCATGGGTCGATATTGTCAGCCGATCAGGCGAAGGGTAGATCCCGTCGCTGCCGAGGACTGCGTAAAACGATCTGAAAGGCCAGCTCTTAGACCCCAGCTGCCACAAACGACCCGTCGCCGCGGGTGGATGACAGTCGCGGTGATCGCTGAAGATGATGTCACCATTTTGCTCGTTCGGATAACGAGGCGGGGTTTAACGCGGCAGGCGCTGATCAGCGTGTGGAGTTTGATCCAAGAAATCCATCCAGTTAAAAGGCTCGGAAAGTTTCATTAAATAGGAATTTAAATAGTCAGATAGGAACGGGGCAAATACCCATTGCTGGCTGCGCATGCGCAGTGGGTAGGCTGGGGTATTTTAGCTTTCGTGTCGCCCATGATTCATACCTTACCTCTAAACCAGGCACCGTTAAAAAACTTTTAAGGTCGTGAGTTGCCGTCCATGTTGTTTGTCACCAAATACATCACAGATGTGGCACTGTGTTAGAGCTCACACGTTTCTGTGGCCAAACTGTGAAAATCCCGTGGTTTTTCACCGTTGCTATATATTTCAGGGCGATGGTTTTTTTCGCATAAAGCATGCCGCTAAACCGCTGCTCTTAATTTTATCCAAGGCAACGCACGGCGCGGCACGCGGCTTATATCTTCAACGATCAATGAATGATTACATCACCGCCCGAACTCCTGCTTAATGAACTAGCTAAGTCATCAATCGCCGGAATCACTCTGACAATCAATAGTTCGGTCTTTGGCCGCGTAATGGCGCCATCAGTCATCAACTGGCGGCCATCGCTGCTGCTGACTGACTAATCAGCTGAAGATCGCCGCTGCTGCTGACTGACTAACCAGCTGACGGCCATCGCTGCGGCTGACTAATCAGCTGACAACCATTGCTGCTGCTGACTGACCAGCTGACGTCATGCTCTGTTTCAGGCTGGCCCGGGTAATCGGCAGCGTAGTGCTGCTCTGGTTCCTCTCCTGGTCTCCCTACGCGGCCGTCGCTCTGATGGGCGTGTTCGGCCAGCAGAGATACATCACGCCGCTCATCACCATGATACCAGGTGCGATACATGATACCGGGTGCGACCATGATACCAGGTGCGACACATGATACCAGGTGCGACCATGATACCGGGTGCGACACATGATATCAAATGTGACCATGATACCAGAAGCGACACATGATACCAGGTGCGACACATGATACCAGGTGCGACACATGATGCCAGGTGCGACACATGATGCCAGGTGCGACGCGTAATACCAGGTGCGACGCATAATACCAGGTGTGACACATAATACCAGGTGCGACACATGATATCAGGCAGGACGTACGAATCGCGACGAGGTTGGGTATGAGCTCTTTGCCAGGCCTGGCCTTCGCGGTAGACGCAATTAGCGGGACCTCACGGCGGCGCGGTGCTGTTATTCGTAATGGAGAGACGTGCTATCATCTGCAGTGACGCATACCTAAGAACAGGGACCTCTTACCGCTTGAAAGGCTTGAAAAGACGTTTGATTATTTCGGGTGTTTCTTTTCATGCGACGCCCATTATGGGATGGCTCCAGAATGACCCTCGTCTCCGATCATTGTCGCTCATGCGGGAAAGTATTCGCAACATCCCACCGATAGACACCCAACTTCAGCTTTGTAGAAATCCGATCTACCGATGTCTAACACTAGCTGGCATCTAAGCCATGACTCCAGGACCAGACAATTCTAACCATGTTTCAGCGCATGCGCAGCATTGGTATACGCTGACTATCTGCACGTTCACTGTCTGAATGCTGACTGTCTGAGTGCCGGCTGTCTGCACTGAATGCCAATGTAGTGTGCAGGTTGTTCGGTGCGGCTGCGAGGATCGTTGCACACACAGGAGAGCCGTTCTATTGATCTGTCTCCTCGTTAATGCAAGCAAACAAGGCGACAACATAGACATATAGGAGTATCTCGGCCACAACCCCTTGCCGAAAGAGTACATGAAGCTGTAGCGAGCTCCGACCTAGGAGGTTGTAACATCAATAAACGTTAACTGATTGTAAAGTTAGCTTAGAGCTCTGAGATTTTCAGAATCTGCGTGGCGAGAGGAAGGCAAACGTAGCATTTTGTCCTCATCGGGCCACTGAACGTCGTGCAACGTCAGCAAGCGTGTTCCAAAACGCTTCAAGCTGCTTCATGGCTAATTCATAGCGTTTCGACCCGCGCCATAGCCGCTCCATTACCTGATGTGATTTGCTGCAAGTGACTCAACGACATGATATCTCTTTTTCTTTCAAGCCTCGCGACAGTGTCGGGTTTCGATCCATGCCGTTAAAT